TTATAAGTTATGAAACTGTTTTATAGTACATGTGTACAATTTATCTTGAACAGAAATGCTACGTCCTGAAAACATTGAGCTTTAGTGGTGAGCAAGGATATAAAATGGGATGCATGCTTGACAGTGTATGTAATTCCTATTTAACTAGTGAATAAATATTCCATAATTTTTTTTTTTTTTTAAATCTAAATAAAATGAAATCTGCAAAAAAAGAAAATATTAATATTTTCGGTGAGATTCATTAAATATAAGACCTTTTCTAACAACATTTTATCTAAAATTCTCGAGTTTTTCTTGTTCAGGTATGCAAGCAGTTTAACACTCAAGCTGGTAATGTGTTTGGTAAAAGAAATGATCCTGTTGAGCTTTCAGTCGATGGTGACTGTTGCACGGGGGATCTTTGTAACCACGTGGCATTAACACATGGATCAACATACACCACCAAAGCACCCCCCACAGGAGGTAACGTTTAACCATTCGTATTTAATCTTCCTTGGCACCTGGTTTCACCTCTGGATTTGGTGGATTCTGTGTTTTATTACTTATTTACAGATTTGTATTGATTGTGGAATTCTCTTTAAATTGGTCATTCGTTATCTAAACTTTTTTTTTATTTTTCACTAACTAAGGATTTATATCTACATTCTAATTCAGTGAAATACAAAAAATGCTTCTAAATAGATAAAGCCTTACTACGTTTTTGGTGCAAATTAGGAAGGAAATTGGCTTTTTCAATTCCGTTTTAAAACAGGATTGCTTAATGACTCTTTTCTATTTGTATTGAGAAATGATGACTTTAAACAAGATATTCTTGTTTCATCAACCTATTTAATTTTCAATAGCTTGTCTTAAAAATCTTTTACTATAGATTTATAAAATATAAAAATTTCTTTTTATTTAACTATTTATAAATATATATTTTTATTTAGAAATTAAAATGTCTAACTGCCTTTCCTAAGCACGTTTTATAAAAAAAAGTTTTGATATGCATTGATCAACAATATTTTTTTTTTAAATTTCATTTTCACATTGTTTTGAAAAGAAATTTTCCGTTTACTCTGAAAAGAATAGAATATTAGTACAAAGTAACAAAGAACATATATTGGTCTTTCAATAAAGAAATCTTACTTCTAAAGATATGTTTGTAACATTCGTAAATAAAATATTGGCATGGCATACTATCTTTATAAAATATCAAACCACCAATAATATTGTACCATTTAAAAAAGTTTTACAACCTTTAGCATATCACAAAATGTTAACCGAAAACAGTATTCATTTGTTGCTAAATGATGATTTTACATCCTTAAAAAATAATCAAAGAAGTTAAAATATTTGAGGAACTGCTTTTTTTTAAATTTAAATATGTTCTATTTTGTAGTTGGCTGCCGATACACAGCCGCCAATCATCATTGTCCTACAAATTTTCACCTGGTTGATGGGAAATGTATGATGGTTGGACCTGGTCAAGTGTCCTATGCTAAAGCAGAGGTGCGTTATTCCCCCTGTTGGTTTTTATTTCGTTCTGAGAAATAAATTCTCAATTCAATATCTATCGAGATGTTTTAATATTTTTTTTATTTTCAAAACTTAGTATTGTTCATTTATCATAGGCAATATCCTCACATTATTGATTATCGTATTTCTTTATAGGCCTACTGCCATAGTCACTGCTCCATGTTGATGGAAAATTTCTCAGGAAAGGAAGCACATGCTATATCGTATTTCATTCAAACTCAGTTACGAGGTATGTACAACACATGCATTCCACACTATAAGAAACAAGAATACAATAATTTTTACATTTATGCTTGAGTCGATATGACATTTTTTTCTCTTTTCAAAGAAATTAATTTAAAACGGATTTCATCTTAGAACAAAAACAAATTTGTTTACAAGACGTTTATAATACAAGATATTTTATGGTTTGCCTATTTTAGAGTGACTGATTCTTTGTCTCCCTTTAAATTCCCTCCCTAACTTACACCCATATGTTGTAGGTCGATCAAATTATGTATACATTGGAGCTCAGGATGCTGATCACGATGGAGATTATACCTGGAACGTTGCCGGGACTGTTGTAGCCCACTCTTCATCCCCCGTTAGTGGACACTACTGTCTGACCTACTCTTCATCAACAAGAGGAGTACATCCGGTCTCGTGCACGTCACTTCACTACTTCCTGTGTCAAGCTCCAATGAAATAAAATGGGAATAAAGTTTTATATATATTATACTGATTTTTTTTCCCTTGACAATGAAGTTTATTAAATTACTTGCATTGAATAAATGTTTTTATTTAAAATGAAAAGAAGAGAATGCAAGTAGTGTATGGGGATAAAAATACGATTGCGCCACGTTACAAGTAGACCTATATTTTTTTCATATACACTGTATGAAGCAAAACTTCTTCAAAAACTTATATGTTAAAAGAAAAAAAAATTCTGTCGTCTTCAACTCTATATATAGATATATCTTGTAGGTATTATAAAATAATACTAGCTACTGAAAGGCTTTTCATATTATGAGATTTACTTTTATCAGTGGAAAAGTTGTGGATATAAATTAAAATTTCTTTTTGGAAAAAAAATTTGCATGGGAACTTGGACTATATCTTTTGGCATCAGATTAGCAAATATTTTAATAGCATTTTGTAAAAAAGTATATTAAAGATTTTATTTTATCCAAATTCGATAGTTAAATGAAAAACTTAAACATAACTTGCAAGGTTTTTTTAGCATTGAGATGTTACGTACAACTGTGATGGCGTGACGTCAGTAAATGATTGCAACGCAGCCTATACTCTCCAAGTTAAGACCATGTTTGCATATATATATATATACAACTATTTATAACATATAACATTAGATAAGAGACGATCTATAAAAATCATCATTATATTTATTTAAAATTTTCAGAAAATAGTGGAAAATAGTCATTTCAATTCAATTTCAAAAAGAAAATTGTATAGTTCATTAAACAGTTTAAATACTTCGTATCAAGTATGTACGTATTAGTAGCATATATTTATGTTCCCCAAACGAAGTTGGGGAACATATTGTTTTTACTCTGTTTCTTTTTCTTATTAATTTTTTTCTCTTCTTCCTGGGAAAATTTTGTCCACGAGTGATCTTGTAAACTATACATCCGACTTAGGTGAAACCTTTTTAGGGTAAGTAGGCATGTTATGTAGAGTTGCCGAACGAAGGTCATTTTGCGTGCACGTGCTTGCAAGAGCGGGCACATGCAACACGTGAATAACAAATATAATGTATATTGCCGTAATTTTTCTATTTTTTAAAGAAACGTTTTGAAACTCAAAATATAAAGACATACAGTGGACCTTCAGATATCCGGACGCCAGATATCCGGATGCTTCAGTATCCGCACGATTTTTCATCGGAACGAAATTTTTAAATGTTATTTTGTCTTGTTTAACTGGTGATTCAGATATCCAGATGCTTCACATATCCGGACAAATTGACAGGGAACCAAAGCGTCCGGATAAATGAGGGTCCACTGTATTAGTAGTATAAACAAAACGACATGGTCAAAATAGCAAGATCTCATGCGCATGCACGTGCGCTTCGCTCTGATTGGCTGAAACTAAAGTCTCAATATTTTTCTTGTTTTACGTCATAATCCTTTGAAATTTTGAACATAGTCATATATTATAAAGATCTACAGCATGATATATAAGAATTTTCATGAAAGCACGTACATGCACGTGTGCTGGCAAGAGGGAGCACGTGCAAGACGTGAAATGGCCAATATAATGTATATTGCCTTAACTTTTATATTTTTTATGAAATGCTTTGAAACTCATAATGTAAGGATATATTAGTAGTATAGACAAGATGACATGGTCAAAATAGCAAGATCTCACGCACATGCACGTGCGCTTTGCTCTGATTGGCTGAAACTAAAGTCTTAATATCTTTCTTGTTTTTCGACGAAATCCTTTGAAAATTTGAACATAGCCATGCATTGGGATATCCTACAACATGATATATAGCAATTATCATGAAAACACGTGCATGCACGTGCGCTGCAATCTGATTGGCTGAAACTTTAAATAGCTATAACTCCCTTGGTTTTCAACCAAACGGGGTGGGATTTGACACATAGATATATTGAACTTCTACAAGACGGTATGGTCACCATGTACATGCATACACATGCGCTGTAATCTGATTGGCTGAAACTTTAAAAAGCTATAACTCCCTTGGTTTTCAACCAAATGGGGTGGGATTTGGAACATAGATATATTGAACTTCTACAAGACGGTATGGTCACCATGTACAAGCATACAAGTGCGCTGTAATCTAATTGGCTGAAACTTTAAAAAGCTATAACTCCCTTGGTTTTCAACCAAACGGGGTGGGATTTAGAACATGGATAGATGTAATGGACTTCTACAAGAAGATATGGTCACCATGCTCATGTATACACGTGCTTGCACGTGAAATGAATTAAATCAAAAATACACTTGAATGAACGTATTTTTAAATACGTTTGGATTAAATACTTTAATATTTAGTATATTTATATATATGGATTGTGTAGACAGGATGATATGGTCATTACGCACATACATTCACATGCGCACGCGTGCAATGCTAAAATCTGAATGAATTTGGCGTTGTTAAAGTCTCAAATGCATAGATTTTGGGCTATTTATTGAAGCGTACAGGGAATATGGCACCAGAAGGGAGTTGGGAAGCGTTTGGGGAACATCTGTAACGGTCCCAGTTACAATTAGCACTAGTTCATATTGCATCCTTACAGAAATGCGTTATATCCGAATCATATGGAGCGGACTTGTATACAAACTTGGATGTACAGCATCGGATGTAATTCAACTTACGACACTAAATTACTATACATAACCCATTATCCCAATTCAAGACATTGCCCTTTAAGTGAAATGTGTTCTGCAATTAAATATATTATTATGTAATTTATTGCATGGTTTTGTTTCTCTGCAAATATATAGATAAGCAATCGAACAGTTGATATCGACATGACCATGAGGGCTTTCATTCAACTCTTAGGTATGATATACTTTATTGTTACTTCCAGTTTTCTGTTTATTTAATTCTTATTTGCGCTGTAAGTTAGCAGTTGATCAGTCATATTTTTGAAAGCAGATTCAGAGAATGTTTCAAACATATTATAACAGTATTTATTGGACTAAAGTTCAAAGTAGATAATAAATTAGGGACACGTATGTTATCACAATGAACAGAATATAATTTCAAAAAAAAAATTTGGATTCTTTCGCATTTTATTTTTGTTAATTTTAGCTTTTTATTTGTTTCGTTTCTTTTTTGCAAGAAATAACAATAATCACGCATGATTCCGATCTCTGATACTTATCTATAATTTGACATATATACCTGTATAGTGTTCAATAAAGAAGGAACTTGTACGTTTTATTTCACAACAAAATTCTTATATCAATCGATCAGAATTTATTGAAGTAATACTTAGCTCTTTCTCGGTGTAGTGATCCACTTTGCTGCAATATATTCCCAGCAGCTTTGTGACAATGTTGATGATCAAGCGTGCCAAGGTTTTGCTGCCAATATTAATATCTGCATTGATCCATGCTTATCAAAGATCTGTCCAAGAACATGCAAATTTTGTCGTACGTTTTTTTCTCTTTTTTGTTGATAAAATTCTTGTTGTAACAATGAATACCCTAAAAATAGTATTTCTTAAATAATGAATATGTATGAAGGTACCTGGCAAATAACACCTTGAGTATATTTGTAGACAATTCTTGCAATTTATTGCAAAAAATGGATAAATACCTTAATATCTGTGTAATAAAGTTAATCCAAGCCTTTGCTTACTTTTTGTGTGCATGTGTGGGTGCTTAGTTTTTGTTGATTTATTTTGGGTTAATGAGTAACCGTAGACGACAGATTATTCTTCAAAGTTGATCTTTTTTTGAATTTCTAATAAAGTACAGCTATTGTAAATCTTTTATTTGATTGGCTATTTGAGACAAAAAGAATGATTTATAGTGATTTCATTACAGTGTATCAGATATTTGTAAAGTTAATTACTGATTTATTTTTTGGGGGGTGTGGTGTGAAAGGAGGGATAGAGTTTTATTTTGTTGTTTATTTTCATTAATATTTTTTAGGGTTAATTTTACAATTTCTTCTTTTATCTCAGCCGTACAAAATTCCAAAGAAATCGTTACATATGGTGGCAGCGGTGGTATTTTTAAGGCAGGTTGAGTGTTAATGGTTTAGAATAGTAGAAAAGGTTCACTATAATTGTGTTTCTAATTTCATAGTATGTTTTTTAACTACTAGTCACACACTGAAAGGCTACTCATTGGTTGGAGGTGGTTGTTGTTCTCTAGAATAATGATGTCTTTACTTTAGTTGGGTTCAGGAGGTTATTGATAAAGGTCATGATTTGTCTACGTGTATTGAGGTGTGGAAACATGCCAGTGCAGTTGAGCAGGAGGAGAGAATAGTTAGACGAGAACAGGAGATAAAGGAGATTGAGCTGCAAGAATCAAACTGGAGAGAGATACTCAAGAAAATAAAGTGCTTCATGAAAAGGATTTGAGGAGAGGACGCTATTGGTAAGAATGAAAGAGTTACAAATGCAGGAACATGCGACGAAAGAGAAAGCGACTATACAGTAACCTGGTACAACTGAAAAGGAGACGAAGCACAAGGTCAAGCATATCTTGCCCAAATATGTTGAAGTATAGGACATAGATGTTTTCTTAAAATCCTTTGAACTGCTCGCAACACTCCACAAATGGCAAAAAGCAGCATGGGCTTTGAGATTAGTTCCAAATCTGAAAGGTAGTGTACTTGACACTTATGACTATGACGTCACAAAGAAAGCTATTCTTTCTGAAAAGGTACAATCTCACGGCAAGTACGTACAAAGATAAGTTCAGGGTTTGCAAACAATATACTGGTGAGACATTTAGAGAGTTTTTTAGCCGTTCTATAAATTACTTTGACCACTGGTGCCAAAAAAAAAAAATAAACAAAAACTGCTGCTTTTATTGTTCCTACGCGTGAACAACTTAATATCAGTTCTTCCAGAGATATCAAAGTCTGGTTGAAAAAAAAACAACCAAAGTCTGTGGAAGAAATGGTAGATTAAGCAGGGTAATTACTCGACGTCGAAAACTGACCCTTTTGCCTGTAGAAAAAGCGTCATCAACCTAAAAATTTCCACACTCTACGTGAAGAAAAATGATCCGCTAACTTCTAACTCCGTCTATCCTATATTTGAATAAACAAGAAATGTGTAATTTTTTAACATCCGGTGATTTAATACATTCGAGGTTGTTTTTCCAACCTCTGACGGAAGGACCCGAGATGATGCAAGTGTTTGTTCGAGGTGTGAAACATGTACTAAGGAATGCTTGCAAAGTGTCATATTTCTGTGTTTTCCCTAGCCGGTGAAAGTATTTGTTTTGTTGGTCAGTATTCAATATTGTAAGTATGTTCTTTTGTTTTGGGCTTTACTGTGTGTAAATTTATTTTAAGGTTAGTTAAACGTATGATATTTACAATGTGTAAGGCGTGAGGGGTGTTTGGCTCGACGGAGACCAATAAGAGATGTGTGATAAGAAGCTTACTATTCATGCAGATGCTGAGATTGGATTGTTTTAAAAAACTTAGTACATTTATTCCAAGCCGGAGAGTGAAACCAGCGAGTCCGGGTCTCAAACTACCGTGGTGAATTCTCTGTAGTCGATTGTCCGCATGTGTGGTTATCATGGAGCCGATCAGCACGTGGTGGCGAGAGCATTCCAGTGTGACTAGTGATTTTATTGAACAGATTTGTATGTCATTGTGAATAAAATCTAAGAAAGAAATTTCCAAAAGCTTTTATACAGATTTTTCATTAAAGATGAACTTTTTCTAAATTATAATAAAAGTACAGCCATTGGAAATCTTTGTATCTGATAAGCTATTTGAGTTTTGGGTGTGGTGTGAAAGGAGGGAGAGAAAATATTTTTTTGTTGTTGTTTATTTTCATAAATAATTTTTTGGGGATTCATTCAAAAATTTGTTCTTTTATCTCAGCTGTACAAACTACCACAGAACTCATTACAATCTAAATGTTAAATTAATTTCGGTATTAAAAAAAACCGTTGTGTACATATTTTATTATTTTCCTTTCCAACCACAATCAAATAAGAACATAACTCCTTTAACAGAATAAAAATGGTCATATATTGAAACATGCAATAAATGACAGTGAATCAAAGGCACAATGTAAAAACATGTACAAAAGTTACTAAAGTTATATACATCAACATTAAAGTTGAGAGAGAAATAAAATCATGTTTGTACCGGAGAGCAACGAATTGCAACAAATGTCTAGATACAATGAGGGCATGACTGACATAATTTCTACAACCAAATGGGTCTCAAGAATGGCGTCAATCTGAAAAAGGGGCGTTAACCCCAAAATTATATACATTATCTTGTACTTGCAATGAAATCAGTCCAAACTTGAAAGTGGAATATTTTGTTTTCATTGCATGTACCAGATACTGTCCATATTATACTATATGCGAATGATTTCTATTTTGTTTAATGCCTAGAGCTTCTTCAATAAATCATAGAACTAATAATGATTCATTTAATCAGGGCAGAAATGAAACAGTTTCTTGGGGCATTATTTTAACAGGTTTGGACCACTCACCCAAATGGGATATAATAGTCCGTTTGGGATAAAATATCCCAAATGGGATATAAATTTTTATTTTGGCAATAAATATTATAAATCCGCATCAATGCACTTAAAAAGGAAGATGTGTTTTGGTAAGCAAGTTTTTCTGCAACCCTACAGTTTGTAAGATTGATCCCCAACAAGTTATGGAACTTCCGAGGGATCAATCTCCTGAACAATGGCCATACAGAAAAACTTGTGAACCAAAAGTTATACCTTTATACCCCCCGGTAATTTTCCTGTTGCGGATTTATGATATTTATATCCAAAATAAAAAATTTCATTTCTTGCACTGTAAATTCATATCCCATCTGGACTATCATATCCCAAACTGACTATTATGTCCCATTTAGGCGAGTGATCCCAACCTGTTTAATGTTATTCAGCCCTCAAATGTTACGATTGTAATGGGTTGTCCTCGCCGACAATGTGCAACACCACAGTGATTTGTTCAGACAATTCTTATGTAAGTAACTTTAAAAATTCTTCCGTTTATTATTTCAAAAGAGAATGTTAATTGATGTCGAGTAAAAGATTTTTTTTTTGTTATGAAGTTCAACATTTTTGGTTTATTTATTCAAAAAAGTTTACTATGTTTCCAAAACCTTTTACTTGATACTATTTAGAATAGCATCTTTGTTGTTCTTTCAGTTTTGCTTCGTAACTGAGTCTTTAGGAGATGATTTTTCCATCAATTACAGACAAGGCTGCGCAAGTTCAGATGTAAATGTTTTCTGTTTATAAAGATTAATAAATAAGTGATATTGGTTAAGACATAGTAAATATTTTAAATTGTTTACTAAAATATTGTTATATAAATTTTATACTACTTTGAAAGCATTTACAGTCGAGAAAAGAAAAATAAAACAATGACTAAATATACACTTTTATTTGAAATTCCCCTTATTATTATAGAACTTTAAGACAAATCCACCAAGTTTCAATCGTAACTTTTGATTAAATCTAGGTCTGTACACGATTGTTTGGATCTGCAACACCGACACTCATTGGACGTAGGTCAAACCTTGAGGGTGAATGTTGTGATAATGACCTGTGTAACAGAAATCGTCCTGTTGGTGAAAGACAGGTCGACTTGTTTAACTTTACATCAGCTAAGAGAACGACAACACCTTCGTTTGGAACAACCACGCCACCTATGATGACAACAATGCATCCACGAACGACAACTCCTACATTTGCAACACAAACAACAACTCCGCCGATGATGACGACATCACAACAACGTAATAGTATATAGATACTTAATATATGGATAATCCAATAAAAGGTCTCAGTGGTCGGAATCAAATACTTAAAATGAAGAAGAAAAACACGAAAAACTTCAGTAAAGCTTAGGCCTTTCATTCTATCTTCTGAAGCTTTACTAAATAAACAACTGTAGTATCATTGTAACGTTACACTATAATTCGCGGAGTATATGACGTCGATATAATAAAGTTGTTGTGATGTGCTTTAGTAATCTAGTACAATACCTGTATTTAATAAGTAGAAATTGTGAAAAAAGGTGAGGGGTAACATAGGTTACATTCCACCTGAGCTGTGGACTCCGGACGGGACAGTGTCGACAGACGTCTGTATAGATCCAGGGTATAATCACAACAATTGAGCTGTGACGTATACAAATATATGCATTCCGAACCCGAACTATTTTATAAAACCATTATCACTATAAAGTCAAATGTTCTATGACGTCAGATTGTTGCGTACAGGTAAAAGTACGGGAAATTTTTTATTGAGGTTGGCTCCTGATATTTAAAGTCTTAAACTTTTTTGTCAAGTATGTTTTTACTCTCTACACACACGGCTTAATTAAAAATCAAATTAAAATATGGTAGTCATTATACTTCTTTTGGCGCTACAGTACATTAAATATGACCTTTTTGCACTGAAATGTGTGTCTTCATAAAAAAATTACATTTTCAAAGTTTTCTCTCCAATATTTTTATCCAAATAAAGCATGGAACAAAATAAACTATAAATCTATTTAAAAAAGACTTTTTTAAATTGTGACTAAGAAAAAATTTCAAATTGCTGTGCATAATAAATTATTTGACCTTTCTGTACTCACAAAATGTGATTTTTCTGACATTGAAAATTAAATAAGCAAGAAAATTATTTTAAAGTCTTAAACTTTTGCAGAATTTAAGCAGAAAAGTCAGTTATTTTAATCATTCAGAAAAGAAAATCAAAAGTGCGAGTATATGATGTAATTTTTTAGATATTACTACAAACGTGCCAATTTTGTATTAAATTTTGCCCATTTTTTCCTGGACTTTCAGAATATATTTACTATATTTGTCATAATTCATCGAAAGAATTCATAAGAAATAATTCAATAGATATTTCAGAACAAGCATAACACATTTCACCGCAAAAAAGTTTTGTGTGCAACCAGCATGAAAAATAGGGGGAAATTGGAATCTAAAATTAACAGCACTGTATATAGTTAAAAAGGGGAAAATTTATCATTTTCTTCTAAAAAGCCTTCCGACACAAAATATAGTTCTTGTCTTAATCTATCATGGTCCCCTGTATCATCCTTACCAAGGCAGCGACGTGGAGATTACGAAGCATAACAGGGACAGGGAACCAGGCTAGTCTTAATCCTACTTCAATCGATTTTAATAGCGGTTTTTGCAATGGATATAGTTTAATTTGCATTGTAGAATCTAAATTCAATGTTAAAATCTTAAAAATGATTAATGAATAAAGGTCCAGACCAAATTCGACGCAAAAGTACAAGATCGTTCTTTTTGAAGTCTAAAAATTTCCCGTCTTTTTACCTGTACGCAATGAACTATTAACTATGACGTAATAACGACGTCATATGCTTCGCGAATTATCGTGTAACGTTACTATATTAGTTAATTTTTGTAAAACCTCAGAAGATAGAATGAAAGGCCTAAAGCTTTACAGAAGCATTTCGTATTTTTCTTCTTAATTTTAGATACTTATATTGTATACATTGAATACTCTTGCTCAAGTAATGAAACGCAAATAGACGCCCTTCCTTCGTTGCTTTCAATACTTGAATAAGTTTTACTCTTGAAAGCTTAAGAAGGTTTTAAATTCAGATGAATATGCCCTTTTTTTCATTAGAGCACTCACAGAACTGTCACAAATTGTACGCAAGTCTATAATCCCCAACCATACATACACATATGACCTCACACACACTTTCATATTCGAGCTCATTTCATAGAGATACTTAGAAGTCTTAAGCAATTTGTAACATTGATAAAGTATTCCTTTACATAATGGTATCCTATACAATCTTTTTTTTTTTTTGGTTCATATATTTTTCATAGCTAACCTCTCATCCAAGTGTGATGATATTGATCATGCATCTTGCCAGCGCCTCGCCATGATCAAACGAGACATGTGTACCGATGACTGTATGGTACAAGCCTGCCCCAGAACGTGTGGAAAATGCGGTGAGGTTACACTTACTGTTACAAGACATTTCACTAATATTTGATGTTGATAATAAAGATCACGGATCGACTGTCCATTAAAATGGCTGACATAAGAATTATAATCTTATTGATCTTGTTTGAATTTTGTGATAAAATATATTTGTCGTACCTTCTTTCTCCACAGCTGAATGTTACTCATGTCAACATGTCTCAAATCCTGCTAACTGCACAAACCATACTGTCTGTGAGCCAGGGGAGGTAATTCTTTCATATTGAATTCCTAACAGAAATAATTACGAAAAGGTAATGGTGAATATAATAGTAACACTGCTGGTAATGTGCTAATTGAGAAAATCTTGGCTTCGGACACTAGCTACTATTGGTCTACATCAATAAGGCAGTTTATGTCAAATAAACGTTCAGAGATGATTTCATTAAGTCGTAATGAACATTTTTTAAAGTCGTAATTAGTAAATAAATGTTCAGTATGGTTTTATGCAGTAGAATTGCTTGTTGGTTGAACACATGTAAGGAGCAATCCAGGAACTGCTTTAGATTACACCCGTTCAATGTATTTTACTGAATCTATTCATATTTGCTTTTTACATGTTGAACATTACATTAGTGCTAGCGCTCTCGAGCGCTAGCAACTACGTTAGTCGAAATTCCTTGAATACGCATGCTCGGCTTCACGGTCGTGCATTCTGGGAAAACTGTGAAAACTACTATAGATAGACCGTACGATAACAATTGTATCATGTTGTAGCATTAAATTACTATGTTTATTTATTGTGTAGCTTACACTTTAAAGATAACTACATATTTGTAATACTTCATAATTTCCTTTTTTCTGACGGAAAAGCCCGAGTCATTATCTGATTGTTCTAAACAAAGACCAATCGCAACTTCTCGGGCCTTTCCGACTAACGGAAAAACGACCTCGAATGCATACGGTAGACGCCATGACAACCCTCCTTTTTCATTATCTTTGAAATAAATGCATGGAGACCTTTTATCTGTGGAATATGGAGTTTTACTTTATTCAATGTAATGATATTACCTAAAATATACTACAGAAGGGACTTCTAACTCCGTCTATCCTACATTTGACTAAACAGGAAATGTATAACTTTTTAACATCCGGCGATGTTAATACATTTGAGGTTGTTTTTCCGACCTCTGACGGAAAGACCCGAGATGATGCGATTGAACAAAGACAGGGGAGGGTTTTTTTTTTTACGTCTAAGCACAACCAAAGATAGATTCTAATTTCTGATTGGTCAATTCAGCCAATCTTACAAATTCCAGAAACATGAATTTACACTAAAAATAACGAATAAATCCATTATTTATTTTTAAAAAATCTGATGTGTACTTCTTTTAACCTAACATTTATTGACAAAGATGACCCAAAGGACCAAGCTACTTCACATCTTCACATTCGGAACTCTCTGGATTTCTTTATAATACACATACACTCTGAGTTATTTCTATATTCATTTTAACTCCCCTGTATTTTCTTTGCAGTATTGCCAAGAAATTCTATTCTTAAACCAGCTCATAATGCTTCAATCGGCATCTTCTCCACATTATACAGAGTCTCCCCATAAATGTTCCGTTGGGCCAAAAATCCAATAGGTTAACATCCCCCCTCCTCGTTTCTTTACCATTTAACACTATGAAAATTTTGATTAGTCCAAATATTACAGAGCCCCGTTGTATTAAGAATATTCTGTATGAAAGATATCCATGGATTACTAATCCCATTTTTAGTGTATTTATAATAAAGATGTAAAGAAATAATTCTACAGATCTTATTCTCATTTCCATGCATCAATTTCCCCCAATAAGATATCACTCTTGTATAAATGCGCACATGCATCGGGTAACGTCCAATTTCCCCATATACCATAAAACTCGGTGTACTAGATTTTAAGTTTAAAATATATTTCAAAAATCTTAAATGTAGACGTTCGATAATATCAATATTTTCAAATCCCCATAGTTCACATCCATATAACAAAACAGGAACAACAACTTTATCAAAAAGATCTAGCTGACAGTCCAGAGATAGATTATATAAACGAATTTTTCTTATAATGCCGTACATTGCCTTTTGTGCTTGGTTACATAAGTGTTTCTTGGCCTTTGAAAAAGACCCTGATCTTGAGAATAAAATACCTAGATAATTGAAATCTTTAACAGTTTCTAAAACATCGTCATTGTATTTGAATGTATTTTGGGGGGGTCGTCCTTTTGAAAAAATGACAATTTTTGTTTTCTTAACATTAACATGGAGTTTCCACGTTTTGCAATATACAGAAAATTCATTTAACGCATGTTGTAAATCATTTGCGGTTTCAGCTAAAATAACCGTATCATCAGCATAAAATAAAATAAACAGCTTGATAAAAATGTTAAGATCATCCTCAATCTCTTTTGAAAAATTCTCTAAACCGTTAACATTCTTTTCTGTAAGATAATTTTCTAAGTCATTGATATACAATGAAAATAAAAAAGGTGAAAGATTTTCACCTTGTCTAACCCCGACATTGCAGTTAAAAAATTCAGAAGACACACCATTCACATTAATTCTCGATTTTATGCCTGCATACATATTTCTAATATAGTTGAAACACTTCCCACTAACACCGTTTGAAAATAATTTGTACCAAAGGCCGTCTCTCCATACAGTATCAAAAGCCTGTTTAAAATCGATGAACGCACAGTATATTAACCTTTTTTTGCTATCTATAAGGGCTTGTGACAGAAAATGCAAAATCAATATATTGTCTAAAGTAGAATATCCCTTTATAGACACATAAGCAGATGAATATCAATGATCATAATTGATAAAATAGTCATCAAAGATGATTACCGGCCTTTGCGACCAGGACAAACACAACCGATGTTATGTAAGCCAAAATTCAACAAATTATCAATGATGTTTGATTTACAACGAGACGCAGAGCAAATTTGGTAGACACCATTTTGGGAGTAGTTCATACTGTTTTAAGGAAACATTTGACTTTGACAAGCTTAGTACTCAATGGTACCCTTTGTTTTGACAAATGAGTGAAAGCGAAAGCTAGTAAGAATTAATATCCAAACTATTATTTTAAGAAAATAAAAAACTGTAATTATCCACTTTTTTTTAGAAATTTGAACAGATAATGAAACTTAAATCCGTTGCTTTGAACCCTGAAGAAAATTTTACTTGACCAAAATAGGTTTTATTTGCCATATTCTTCAAGAGTAGTGGTCTTATCGTTCAGATTTTTATTCGAGGAAGCCGTTCAATTTCTGGAAGACTCTAAAAATCCATTTTTTGAACACAAAAAATTCTAAAGGTTATTGAGAAGAAGAAACCAGAATCTAGTACTTTAATTTTCTTTCTGATGACGTTAAAACTCTAGTTATTGGCAAATTCCTCAGATAGAATTCATTTAAAGCACATTATTTGTGACCATGGCATGCATAACGTTTGTTAAAGTTTATTTTATCCACTTAGCTGTCCAATTAGTCAAGTAGTCCTTTTAATATAATTATATCATTCGAATGCGAGTACACGTAAAACACGATGTAAACATCAACTTACATATTTTCGATATCAAGCACTTTTCGGATATGAAAGCAATCCAATCGCTAAACTATGTAATAAATTTGCTTTCTGAAAATGATTTTTATTGTGTTATTTCAAAAAATATATATTTAATCAGACAATTCACAGGTGCCAATAGTAGTCAGTGTCCGAAACCAAGATTTTCTCGATTCGCACATTACCAGCAGTGAGTAATCTTACTTCTAAGTTCTGCAATAATTTTATAGTACAATTTATCTTGAACAGAAATGCTACGTCCTGAAAACACTGAGCTTTAGTGGTGAGCAGGGATATAAAATGGGATGCATGCTTGACAGTGTAGGCAATTCCTATTGAACGAACGAATAAATATTCCAGATTTTTTTTTAAATAAAATGAACTTTGTGAAAAAGATATATTTTCTGTGAGATTCATCAAATATAGGAACTTTTCTAACACATTTTTATCTCAAATTCTTGAGTTCTTCTTGTACAGGTATGCAAGCAGTTTAACACTCAAGCTGGTAATGTGTTCGGTAAGAGAAATGATCCTGTTGAGCTCTCAGTGGATGGTGATTGTTGTACAGGAGATCTTTGTAACCACGTGGCATTGACACATGGGTCAACATTCACCACCAAAGCTCCATTCACGGGAGGTAATGTATAACCATTAAATTTAACACCTTAAGGGAGTCGACTGGGGTTTTATTGTGTAAAAACTACACTAGCGAAACTCTTCATTTTTATACCATATATGACTTACAATACCTTCGATGCACATGCAAAGTTTGGGGAAAATCTACCGTCCATGTATTTTTAAGGGACCGTCTCAAAATACAAGTACATCAACTACGTGATTAAAAAAAATTTAAATACTCTTTTCTTTAAGAGCTTCAGTTTATCATAGCACCAAAAACACACTCAACGTCAAGGTACCTATCAGTTGAAAAATCGGTGAAAAATTCTGTTATATAAAATTGTAATTACATATTTAAACCTTTAATTTCTTAGTTTTGTGTAATTTTATTAATTAAGTGAAAAAGAATGCTTTAAAACAGTAAATACGCTTCTTATTTTACTATGATGGGCGAAACATTGCGCATTGAAAACCACAGTTGCCCCCCTTAATTATTACTTAACTATTCATAGATATTTTTATGATAAAAATAAAATGTCTCACTGACTTTCATAAGCAAATTTTATAAGACAGTTATGTTATGTATTGATCAACAATTTTTGAAAATAGATTTCATGTTTCAAATTGTTTTGAAAAAGATTTTTTTTTTTCCATTTACTCTAAAAAGAACAGAATAGTAATACGAAGTAACAAAGAGCTTATATTGGTCTTTCAATCAAGAAATCTTACCGGTAATTCCAGAAATATGTTTTAAATACTCGTAATATAAAATATTGGTATGGCATAGAATCTAAAAAATGTAAATAATAATAAAAACGTTTGGCATATTACAAAAAGGTAACTTAAAAAAGTATTTATTTGCTGCTAAATGATAATTCAAACATACCTAAGAAATAACCAAAAAGTGAAAATGTTTGAGGACCTGTTTTTCTTTTAATTTCGAAACGTTCTGTTTTGTAGTTGGCTGCCGATACACAGTTTCCAGCCATAATTGTCCTACAAACTTCCACCTGGTTGATGGGAAATGTATGATGGTTGGACCAAGTCAATTGTCCTATGCTAAAGCAGAGGTGGAAAATTATACCTTTCGGTGTTCTTATTTCGTTCCGAGACACAAATTCACGATCTAATCTCTATCGACCCTTTTTTTGTTTCAAAATTTAGCATTGTTGATTTATCATAGGTAATATCCTCACATTATGGAATATTGTATTTCTTTATAGGCATACTGCCATAGTCATTGCTCCATGTTGATGGAAAATTTCTCAGAAAAGGAAGCACAGGCTATATCGTATTTCATTCAAAGTCAATTGCGAGGTATGTAAACAAGAATACAATACATTTCTTATGATTCCTAGTTTCATTTGTACACTTAGGCTAGAGTTGCGGTGACGGAATATTTGTTTTGTCTTAATTTTCAAATTAATTTAAAAGCAGATTTCAAAAAAAAAATCTCCATGAGATGTTTTTGATATGAGATATTTCATAGTTTGTCCATTTTCCAGGATACAATTAACGAATCAAACTTTATATTTCTTCCCTAATCACCACCTATATGTTGTAGG